GCACTTATCTTTCAATCTATGAACATGTAAATGACAGAAAGAACCCCCATCTAGGCAGTTCTCACTATTCTTGAGGTTTTATCTAAATATTCTAGAGTATATGTAAATTATTTCCTCCATTTACAAAGAAAATAAACAAAAAGATGAGTCACACTAATATCACAATGCAAAGATAAAATTAAAATTTATATAAATTTCAATATATATATATATATATATATATATATATATATATACAAAGATGCTCGTTCTGGCTATGGTTAAAATAGTAAAATAATGGGGGGAAATCTGAATTTCAACAACAGAGGACTCTTAAATAAGACATAATACAATCTTACTATTTAAAACATGAACATTTATTATTGATAATAAAAAAATTCATAAGTGAAAAAATTACAAAACCTCATAGTATGATTGGATTTTGTGGGGGGGAAATTTTCATATACAGATTTATCCAAAAGAAAAAATCCAGAAAAATAAATAATGAAATTTTTAAAGTTTCTTTAAAGTACTATCATTTCAAGCAATTTTGATATTTGCTTGCTTATGCAGCTAGTATTTCCACTACTAGATATGCCATATAAAATCTTAAAACAGTATAAAAAGAATACAAAGAAGCCAAGCAACCCCCATACATACACACACTTTTCAAAAAACACTTGTCTGATAGGTAACATGTTTTACAAAGAATGGTCAAAGGATTTCCCACATTAGAAGCACCCACAAAGCTTAAAAATTGAGTGTCCCTCACACCACACACCTTAAGCTTACTGAATCAGAATCTCTGACAATAGGTCCAGGGATCTGTATATGAAGCAAAGATACATATAATATAAAGTTTGAAAACCACTATCTTACCCAAAAAGTTTCCTAGAAATGCAGGGCCCTGAAATAAATGTTGATCTATCAAGATAGCAACTCAGCAAATTCAGAATGGGTGAAATCACGAAACTTCATACATCCACATCAAAACTCACAGAGAACAATGGAACTTAAAGGGCCAGAAACAAAAACACATTGGCTGCTGTGTTTAATGCCTCACAGCATTAAACTGGAATGCAATGAACAGAGAAGAAGCAATCACAATCAAAAGTAGCATAACTCAAATGTCTACATAAACCAACCAGGCATTTTCATAGCAACCTCCCATAACTGAGTATCATTCTCATGCCACAGATCAGTAAACTTAGGCCTAGAGAGGTTAAGTAACACAATTATTAAAGAGAACGAACAAAATTTGAACTCTGGCATTCTGACTCAAAAATGTCTTGCCACTTATCAGCTCTGTAAAACTGGCAATTCACTTCACTTCCCTGAGCCACATTTTCCCTATTAGTAAAATAGTGATGAGAGTAAGAGTATCTAATTTTCACAGGACCAATGTGAGGATTAAAACAGGGTATGTGGCATAATTGCCATGTAGTACCCACAGTTATCGATTCTTTGCCAATTCACAGTAACCCTATAGGGAAGAATGAAATTGCCCCTTTGGGTTTCTGAGCCTTATCTTTCTCTTGAGGAGCAGCTGTGGGTTCAAACTATAAAATCTGCTGTTAACAGCCCAACATGTAACCTAGCCTACTACATGCCATTAGCACTCTTTATTGTGTAGTAAGTAATCCATAAATAATAGCTAGTGGTGTTCATAACAATAAAATATCATACAGCCTAAGATCAAAATTCAGGTTCAGCAAATAATGCACCCAATTTTAAACTCATCTTTAAGGTTCTTTCCAGTTCTTTAAATACAACCACTGCCACCACCTGTACTTAGCTACTAAAATTATTCAATCTTAATTTTAAAAATCTCATGTAAACCCGCCATTTCCCACTGGCTGACTGAGGTCACAAAGGATTTCCTTATATTTCTATCTGAAACTATTTTTTTTTGAAAAAAAAGATTTTATTTACTATGTTACTAAGATCATATCAAGTATACAATATATGTTTAGGCCAACCACCTTTTTTTAAAAAACATTTTATTAGGGGCTCATACAAGTGTTATCGCAATCCATA